ACCCTCAATGCTGAAGGCCATGTCAGCCTCCGGAGTACATCCCCATCCATATGCAGTCACAGACCTCGTGCCCGCCGCCCCTCTACTTATCGCTCGGGATCTGTTGTGAACGCCTGTCGCACTCTCGGACTTCGATTATTCCGGCCACCGCTTGCGAGCTCTCGGTGCAGTCGTCTTCGACGGCATCATCAACACGTCAGCGCGTCCGAGTCTGACGGACGCGCCACGCACATACTCTCCCCTCCAAAAGAAACACCAGATGCGATACACCTTCCATGACCGACGGAACGTTAGATCGCGCGCCATCGGAGCTGGGTGGACGCGTAGCGACGCGTTCGCGTGCTCGGACTGGCGTACGATGTCGCTGGATCTCGTTGGATCTCGGTGGCACGCTGCCCTTTCAAATCGTGCGTTTCTGGACTTTCCGCGAGGACGGGTGAGCTGACGATGTGCAGAAGGGAACAGACGCGGACGCACCTTCCGACCGATAGGGTATGCATGATTACCACGGTAGGTGTTTCTGGCTCTGGCGTTCTTGTTTGCAGGATGGCTGTCGTGCCCGCGGGGCGCCGTCGCCGTGGTCGTCGCATCGGGCGTCGTGGAAGGGATCTGGCTGCGCGACGTTTGTCTGTCCTTACCGGGGTGGCGCGGATGAGGCGCGCGATGTATCTGGATTGGCCGGGTCCGCGGGCCTCGCATCACGACTATCCATCGTCTCGCATCGGCGTCATTGCGGGAGGTGGCTTCTTTGTATGCCTAAGGAGCGTCCTCCCCCCGGGACGCAGTCGAGGCGCGCGATCTCTTTGGATTTACGGGGCGTGCGCGTCGAGCGGGGCATCGGCTGTGCCAGCGACGGAGGCATGGCGTCGTGGGGGCGGCGCGATCCTCAATGCAGTGGCCATCGTGGTGGTCGCTTGTGGCGCATCGCGGACATCGCGGGTGGTGGGGGCGCTGGCGTGGTATCTGGTCCCGCCAGCGAGCTTTCCGGTGGGGGAGCGTACGGGGTGAGAGGCGCGATTTGTGTGGATGTGTGGATGGCGTGGTTTGCGCATCGGGGGGCAAAGTGCCTATCGGCGATGGAGGCGTGCGTCGTGGGGGCGCGATCCTCGAATCCGGCCGCTGGCATCGCAGCGATCGAGGTGGGTCCCCGCGATGGCCCCGCCGGGGATGGGATGGCCGAACTGTGTTATCGTGGAATGTGGGTCCTGGAAGACTCGTAATCTTTGGGGAGGCGCAGCTTGCGGTGGTGTACAGCGAGGCCTGAACGACGGCGTACTTGTTGCGCGCAGGGTACCCTGCCCACTGTCGGGGCTGCGCCTGGCGTGGTACGCGGTGGAATATGGCCGCTATTGAGGCCTTGAGAGATCCTCCTTGGGATGCCCTCTGATCCTGGCGGTCCTGGGTCTTGACGCTGGGCTCCGGGGCATCTGGGTGCCCAGCAGCAGCAGCAGGCTGCAGGCGCCCACGGCGGTGGGCCCGAGGAGGTGGTAGCCCTGAGCTACAGTGCTGGCGGGCGCGGGGGACGAATACGTGCAGATCTAATCCCGATTCCTCCGTGTCCCACAGGGCCGCTGCAGCTGGAGGCGCGCCTGTAGGTCGTCAGCGCGCGACACGGGTAGACGGTGTGGAAACGCACCGTGGCGAGTAAGGGTGGAGCACACCCCCGCCCGGATTGCTCGGAGTTATTGCCAGCGTGAGTCCCCAACAGTCGGAGAGCCGCTGTCATCGGCTGGCTGGATCGTGAGTGAAAGCCGAGGCAGCGATTGCGACGAGGCTGCCTACTCGCCTTCAAGATGCTGCGAGGGTCTGGATTTGGTGTGGCTTGTCGCCGTTGTGGTAGATGACTGGCTGATCACGCCGTCAGTTCCCGTCCAGATCCCCAGCTGCTTATTTTTTTTTTACAAAAAAAAGAGTACTCCTTTCAAGTTCTTTCCTGTTCTTCGAATTTATCTCTCGGACAGATAGACGATATCTGGGTATACGTACGCCATTCGTGCGCCAGGGAATGTCGCCGATGAATGAACCTTATCCATTTATATCTTATTCATCCATAAAATCCATAAAGGGAAGCGTCTGCATAATATCAAGTTTGATGCCTGGCCATCATAAAAAGCCTGCGGGTCGCTCGAGGCTTCTTTCCTCCTCCCAACCTACCACCACCACAAACGCTCCAACAACATCTCAAATGGCCGTAAGTCCTTTTCATTTGTGTCCCTCCTTCCGCGCGGACTGACTAAACGTGGCCGCAGGACGACTCAACTCCGCCGCCTGCGTACCAACCAGACGATCCGATGGGCCCGCCGCCCGCATACACGGAGCCCACGACCACAGCTCCCCCATCGCAGCAGCCCACCGCGGCCTTGGTCCTCGTACGTCCTCCCCTCGTAGACCGTATCTGCTCGTGGTAACCTTCTCTTTGGTCCAACCCAGACCCAGGCCCGCAGCACCCTCGAAAATTTGCGCAATCTGCTCGCGCGCTTCGTGCGCGGTGTATTCGGTGCCCAGAGGCAGCCTGAGGAGTACGAGATGCAGGCGATCGTGTAGTCCACCGCCCGAAAGAAAAGAAGAAGAATCGAACGGTGCGTTCGTTACCTGTTTTTGGATCGATGTTCGAGCTGACGGGATTCAGACGTCTTGATTTTTTTTGTACATTTATTGTTCGCAGCCATACAAGTAATACGAAAGCTATCCTCCTCCCTCATGTGCGAAAATCATCGGGTCGCACGAAATGAGGCCAGGATTCTTGCAATTGACTGTTTGCAGAGTTCCAGATTATCATCGACATACGCGAAAGTCTTTCTAGCTTCAAGGTATCATTTAAAGAAAACGCGAGGACTATGGCGGAAGGTTAGCTTCCGCGTCCAAACCCCGGATAAGCCAGATATGATTTTGAAGTTGGCGCATTTTGTTCCAACTTCGTGCACATGGTGTGGCATTGTCGCGAGTATTAACTGCAAGTCGATGTCGGCTTGTGCCGGACAAGCTGAGTTATTTGTGTGTTCCCATAATCCCCTGGTTCACAACATGGTCAAAGGTGAGTCTAGATTGTTCATTTTGGAGCCTGGGCTATTTTGATGCGCGTCCTCAGCAGAATTGTTGTGAAGTTTAATTCTCGAATCTCGAAGCCGTGCATCAAACTCACTCAATGTGACCAACAACGGCTTCATTCCAGAAGAGACATAGATTCTCAAGAAGTGGGACTGGAAGGTTCATTTCTGGGATTGTCGCCCGGCCCTAAAGATTTCTCCTTTGTTTAGCACGCGTTTTCGAACATAGTTGAATCTGGACATCGATGTTGGATTTTACATTTCACCATCAACCACTTGTTCGGATACCACACCTTAACAAATATCTTTCCTTCAACGACCTGGCGAGCAGCTTCCGAATCCAAGCGCTTTCAACGTGGGTCTAATCCACGTGATCGTGGCCATCGCGGAGAAAGTTTGCCGATTTGAAATTACTCGCACAGCCTTGAACAGCCACTTTGCTCCCGTGCACAATGATCCTCCCCGACCCCGACGACAAAACGACGCCCTCCCCGACCCGCTACGCGCATGTCCCTCCTGGATACTATCCTAACGGCGCCGACCCATACGCCTCCTCATCCTCGCATGGCCCCTCCTCCAGCTCCGGCCGCAGCGACTCCCTCCGCCCGCCGCCCTCTTGGCCCCAAAGTGCAAGCGAAAGCGCCCTCCCACTCCCGTCCCCTTCTTTCTCACCACTGTCGCGCTCGGCCTCTTCGCAGCCCTACATTCCCCCCGTCACCCCCGTGCAGCCGCCCTCGTTCTCGCGCCCCCCACCGCCGAACCTACCGCGCACGCCTTTCCCGCCGATGTTCCTCCTCGCGGAGCAAAATTCGCTCCGCAGGGGCTTCCCCGTCGTGCTCCCGCCCACAACGATCACGCCGCATCCCTTCGCGACGTACGACGTCCTCCAGGATGATTGGGCACAGTGCGTTTTCTTCTTATAATCCCTCCGTGCGTGCCGGGTCGTTTTTGATGGTGAATGCGTGCAGGTTTTTGGGCGACATGCGCACCATCGCGAGCCTGTCCCCAGAGGACCACGCCAACGCGTACTGCATACCGATTTTGTCTGCGGTGCCTATTATCAGTGCGTACTCCTCTCAGTCCCGCATCAATCGAGCGCCGAATAACATCATTTCCTCCTTCCTGCAGACATCGCAATAGCGGGCGCAATAACACACCACATTCGGCGAAAAAAACCGCGGCTCGTCAGCCTCCTCGTCGACAAGTGGAACCATGTGCGTCCCTCCCTTCTTTGTGTTACGCCACTGACCCTGCCACAACACAGCTTTTCTTCCACCCGCGCAAAATGGAGGTGATCCTCATGCGCGGGCAGACGAAGCTCAGCGGGCAGAGCGACCAGCCCGTCGCGCACCTGTACACGCCCCGCACGGTTAACTTCACCGCCCCACCTGTCGACCTGTCCCCCTCCTCCTCCCCTCCGCCTTCCATCGGCCGAGCGAAGTCGAATTATTCTACCCCCAGCCCCGTGGACAGGGCGACGTCGCCGACGGAAGCGGAGCTGGGCGCCTCGAAAGCCGAAACGCGAGCAGCAAAGCGAGCGCGGGATAAGACGTATCGGCTATTTGTGGTGTCGATGGAGGCGTAGCCCCTCATGTCTGCGCTGGACAGGACACTGTAAATCACTTCATCCACATACACTCTCTCTCATTACGCATGCATGTATTTTTTCTACATATCGCTACTCACATTTATTAGTACGGATTGCAATTCGACGGCGATGGCTTCGCGGGCTCGCGAACGCGGTCATCATACTCGCTCCCGAATAATTCAGATGAAATCTCTCCCTGGCTTTATATGCATTCCAGCGGAAGCTTCTACTACTATACACCCCAGCCCCTTCTTCGTCCGTTTGTCTATCCTTTTGCTGTCACTGGCATACTCCTTCGGTTGACATCTTAAGGTTTTTCCGAAAGAGAAACGAGAAGCAAAGAAAAAAGTCCTCAAAAATGGGAATAGCCTGACCCCGAATTGAACGAAGAGCTTCTTCTGAAATGTGACGAGGTCTGGCCACAAATAGAAGATATGTTACCTTTACACCATCAAGCTGTCCTAGCATAAAGATTCGTAGGCTTCTTCACTCTTGAAGTTGTGTTTGTGTGGAAAGAAGGAAAAAATGATTTCTCCAACGTTTGCAGCCTAACACCGAGTCGAACAGGCAGCTTCCTCAGGAACTGTAGTGGACGTTTAGAAATGGAGGATATGTAACCACTACACCACCAGGCCTTCCTATTTTCTCTCTAGGTGATCATTTTGGCAAGTTCGTCTGAGTAACGGATTATCAGACTCTTTCTTGCAAAAATAGTACCAAGCTGTCCTCTGCCTGCGGCCGGTGATTTAAGTCAATGCTATGGCGGAAGGAGTAATGAGACTCCCTACATCTGGATCGAACTTCTCTGCGGGCTTGATTCCCCGCGTTGAATTGAATGCAGTGCAGATCTTCGAGATGTTGCGTTGGTATCTGTCATATCCTGGAATGGGGGATTGAAAGGAGTTCTAAACCGGCAGGTGGACTAACTGGAGCAACCAGTTCCAATAGATGTGCTTTGTGGGAGGACGGACTTGCAAACCTCGATCAACAGCCATAGGAAAGACATTCCATCACCTTTGGCCGGCGAACTCAACTTCCCCGGCAGGCATCATCCTAAATTGCCGTTTTGCCTTTTCTGAACGCCCGTGGGTTCCTGCAGCTGCGGATCGTCCAGCCTCCAGGTCCCACATCATGTCCTGATCCCAGTGAGTCACTGCTGTCCTCATCGCACACAGCCCGCGCATCTAGCTAACATCCAGCCATCACATGCCCTTTGGACGCCTAACCAAAGCCATATAATCGGGACGCTCGACTGCGGAGGCAGGCGAGTATACAGCTCGCACGCTCCCCCCCCCGCTTCGCAGAGACTGACTTCGTCATGTCAATCCGTCCCGTTTCAATCGTCTTTGCACTGGTGTTCGCAAGCCTGGCCGTGGCGCAGGTATACAGCTCGCATCCTGTATTGTTCTTGCCCCGCTGACCGCGCGTTGCATTCCTCAAGGCCTCAACGACGGCGGCGAGCTCAATCACCCCGACGCATGCGCCGTTCCAGCTGCACCTGTCCACCGGGGGCATCGTAGCCGTCACGATGGGAAGCACACTCGGCGTGCTCCTCATCGTGATCGCGAGCTACTTCTGCTGCTGCCACGCCGCCTGCATGCACGCGAGGAAGCTCAAACGCACACAGGGCCAGATGGATACGAAGCAGAGTGTGCGCGGATGTACATGCAAGGAGGCGAAGTACGATGCGGAGCGCGGGATTGCGAAGGACGTGGATGTGCGTTTGGATGGAGACGTGCATTCCACAGCACACATAAAGACGCAGGGGGAGGAAGAACCAGGCTATGTTCGCCGATCCCTTGACAAAAAGGACTACGATGAAGCAGACGAGGGGCACGGCTGCCGCAATGGAGCAGCGCGTCCCAATGCCAATCGCGCACGGCGGTGTCTTTGCGCACGGCGGAACCGCGGACGAGGATGTGCGCTCGATGACAAGTGATCCGCCAAAGTACGAGGATTCGTGAATGACCTTGAAATAGTTTGGACATGCCCGGACAATGAAAGTGCCGATTGATACGTATGTATATTATACTAATCGCTTTGAATAGTTGAATACGGATTCCTAGCGCTCGAGGCGGCCATATATAGCCGAGACGATCTCGTTTAGTTCGCGCAGCACGTCCAAGAAGTGAGATCCAGTGCAGGTCAGCAGACGTCTATTTTTTGATGTTCACACCCGACGAGGGAAGTCAGCGGGTGGAGGATGCGATGAAATTGAAGCGCATCATCAAATTTGCATAGCATGAGACGTCGATGGGTGACGGGTAGTATGTAGGCCCAAGGAAGTTTCGAGTTTCTAATGATTCGTAGTGCCCTTGTAATTTTCGGCCGGGGAAGCGCCTTCTGAAACCATAAAGGTACTTAGGTAGAGAGAAGAGAACGGAGTCTAGACCCGGATGTGCCCGGGTGGCGATGCGACCGCATCACGGCCCGCATGATCCGAAATTTCAACCGCTCGATAACTCATAAGTTCATTCTTCCCTGCAGAACGAAGGCATAGTGAGCGTGGGCTCAGATGAGCTACCAGGAGTCCCCAGATTTTCCCGTAATCGGGCATCTTGGCTCGTGTCGGCTTTGTGGGTTTAAATTTTTTAGAGTCATGATAGTGACTTTGGGATGATGCCGGCAGCCCTACCCCCGATATTGTCTCCCGGCTGCCCACGAATCCATCGATCTCGCTATGAATCATCCATTAATTGATGTTGGCAGAGATTCCGAACGCTTTGGAGCGCTCGAGTTGTATGAGTATAATACTCAATTTGGGATTCAACGCTTAAGCATCGTCATCCTATGGTCTGCAGGTTAATGGCGACCCAGCATTTTCATGAGCTGAACGTTTGGAGAACATAAATTTTAGTTAATCCTATTTCGAAACCTGGCTAGAAGAATTGTCCGCCGAAATTCAGCTGCTAATACTTAAATTCAACTTCCAAGTCTCGGCGAATTCGAAGTACAACAAAAAGGATGGATGCAAGGCTTCCCTCCTGCTCGGTGACATAGTCAAACGCTCTTGTCCATGAATTTCGACCGTAGACCATCTGGAGGGCCGACCCTCGGCCGAACAGAAGCCTCGAGGCCAAAGTGTGATTGGTTGATCAAAGTTGGCTCTCTTTGGCCTTGTCTTTCCTTACTATGATGTCTCGCATCTTGCTCTTTTCCTCTTCATCCACCACCATCTCGCGCGTTCCTCGTGACGCCACGATGAGTGAGAACCTCCCCGATGAGGTCATTTCAGAAATCCTCTCCCCTGTCCTGAAAGTCCCCGATCGCATGTTCTCCGACACATCGTATAAATCTCCCTTCGCGTCTAATTCCGTGTCGACCTCCTCCTCTACCCTGCTCGTCTGTAAATCATGGTTACGCGTCGCATCTCCATTGCTTTACTCCACTGTTATCATCCGATCCAAAGCTCAAGCACAGGCTCTTCAGAGGGCTCTGCAAAGCGTCCCGCAGCTCGGCCGCTTTGTTAAGAAGCTCCGCGTCGAAGGCGGCTTCGGAATGGCGATGCACAAAATCCTCCAAAGCACACCAAATGTCAGCGACATACTTGTTTCCCTCCAGCTCCCCGCCGCAGACCCGCCCTCTGGCCTTGCCTCGGGGCTGCCGCTCATCAACCCGACCCGGCTTATCATTTTGGACGAGCACTACCTTTTCGTTAAAAACAAGGCAGTCTCGAAGCTGATAGATACGCTTGAAACTTGTGTGGTAAAGTGGACTAACCTCGTACGTTAGGTCTACAGTTCTCCAGCCGCATCTGATAATCCCTTTCTTCTTTAGCATACAATTCAATTTCCGTACAGCCAGCCGACTGACCGACAACCCTTCTGTACGGCTCTCTGTACCGCGGCAACGACGGCCAAAATCTTGTCATTCCCCGTACCCAAAGCTGACTTCGTTCCTTACCTCACCAAAATTGCCCAAATCCCCTCGCTCACGGCCATCGAAATCAGAACAGATTCAGCGCACGACGAGACGCCCCCATTCTCCACAACAACCCCCGTCTCAGCGAGTTGGTGCGTTGGGCAGGCTCATCGTGCGTCAAATTATTCCTCTCCTTCTTGAGCGAATTGAGATAGCGTTGAACAGCACGACCACCCTCACGACTGCGTACAAGTCTCCATCCTGCGCGGCTATCGATCCTTCGTTCCGCCCCATGGCATCCATTCCCCAACCAACGATCGATCGCATCTGGAGCCGTATCTTGTCCTTTGCCATGCTTTCCCTCGAGCAACATCCAGAAAATACCGACCCATGGAAGCTTCCGGATCCGAAGGTCAATTCCAGCCGTCTGCAGTTCCTGTTGGTGTCCAAGTTGTTTTATGTAAGCCCAGCCGCCATCAATTGCTTCTTTGGACATCCATAAATCTTGTTTGCAGCGTCTTGCAAGCCCCCATTTACACCGTTACCCGATTTTCTTCCGCGAGAGCAATTTCTCTGCGTTTTTGGGCGCACTGGCGACGCACCCTGCTCACGGTAGCTACGTTCGGACGCTCGACTTGCGTCAGCCTCCGGAACGGGATCCCCTAGCGCGATTATTAAAGAAGGACTGGCCCACGAAGAACCTCGACGCGATTTTCCCTCACACCAGCAATCTAACACACCTAATCGGAGGGGGCAGGGCGTCCATCTCGTGGGACGCCTTCACCACGCTCGCAGAAATCGCAGGCGGCACCCTCCAAGAGTTCAATGGGTTCCGCATTGACATGGAGGGCAATGTGGCTCGCTCGCCCAAAGTTTTGCGCCATCTAGTCGCCTTACGCGCTTTCGGATGGGATGTGGGGTTTTCAGTGAAAAGCAAAGGACCTTCCCCCTTCGGCGCGGTGGACGAGATCACCGCGGCGGGCCTTCCGGCGTTAGAGTTCGTCTGCATCAAAAGCCCCGAAGTGCTGCCCGTGTTCTCCAAGATGCAGTACGTTCTGACTTCCGAGTGCACTGGCGTCTTACCGTTATAATTTTTGGTGAATTTAGGCTTCCCAGCCTCCGACGCGCCACATTTAAAACCGGAGAGGATGGTGTGAATACTTTCCTCGAGATCCACGGCCCCAAACTGCAGCTCCTCGAGGTCGAGAGCGCCACGATCGCCAACAAGTCCGTCTTGCCGCTGTGCCCAAATATCACAACTCTCACCTGCCACACCACTGCGCGTTCCGGCTACGTGGGTGCACTGAACATCTGCATTCATCCGTACTCACCAGCATCGGTTCAGGATCTCGGGTCCAGCCCCGGCTTTCAGCACGCGTTCTTGCACAAAATAGTCGTGAGCAACTTCGTCGTGTGCGTCTAGATCTCTTCCCGCCCGCTGCTTCACCCCGCTGTTCAAACTGATGGACCGTCTAGCGCCATGAAGGCCTACGAGAGGGAGTGGGAGGGCTTCTTCGCCACGGTGGACACCACACATCTGCCTGCGCTGCGTGAGGTGTCCTTCACGACGCTCAGGTGGCCCACGAATGAGTGAGTT